AAAAAAAAAAAAAAAAAAAAAAAAACACATCATAGTAAAACCAATACCTTCTCAGCTTCGCATCGAAGCTAAAAGTACAAATTAAGTACAGTCAGGAATCAACAAAGTGTAAATTTTTTAAATTAGTATTCATTGATATCTGACATTTAAAATCCTTGTCGTAAGACGTTTTAATAGATATAAAATTGATCTATCGACTTAAAGTTCGATTACTCATTATTTTTAGAACTTCTTAAACACTAACATATTTAAGTAAAATTAAAACTATATTAAAAATATTATTAATTTAAAAAAACTAAAAAATATTAAAAATATTAAACTCAAAAGCCACAAAATTTTGTGGCTTTTGAGTTTAATATTTTTAATATTTTTTAGTTTTTTTAAATTAATAATATTTTTAATATAGTTTTAATTTTACTTAATTAACTAGCCACAAGTGATCAATTTTTATTATACTAACATATTTAACATTAATTTAATGTCTTTGTGTAGTATATCAATATTACCAATAATAGCTAATAATATATTATTATATAAATATAATATTATATAATATTGTATATACTCATTGCCACCAGCATTTTTCTATTTATAATCTGAACATTTTACCAAGCCTAAAAAATTCCAAAGGTGTTCTAAAAATATCATAAAAACCATTGATTTTTTACTGAGTTATGAGATTTTTTTTTTTTTTTTGCTTGGCACTCCGCCCGAATTTCTTGGGACACTTTATTCCATGAAAACATTTTTATCTCTTTCGCTTATATACTATTAATTAGTAGTATATGTATTAGTAGTATATTTAGATGCAGAAGCTCAGTTGCGTTTAAGTCAAGCACAAAAACAATGGTTGATGGCAGATGCTAAGGCACAAACATTTTATAGTTACATCGGTATATGAACAAACATTAAAGTACATAATGAATTATGACACAGCAAATGGTATGTGAAATAAATTACGTTGTTGTTCCAGTAAACATTTTATAATTATGTTATGGATCAAAATGACACACTATACAGGGTGGCCCACCACTCACTGACAACTTAAATAACTTTTGATCCAGTTAATATTTTTAGCTGATTTTTTTTTTTAATATTAGTTAGACGTTAGGTCTATAGCTATATCTCAATAATTAATTTTTTTACATTTTATTAAAAAAATTAATTATTTTAAAATTTTAAATAAAAAGTAAAAAAAAAATCTAAGATAGCTATTTTGTAGAGTAGAATTTAAGAAAAATTTTAGTAAAAAAATATCTTATTAATATTCAATAGTAAATATTCTGTAGCGTTTTGAAGTTTGTGAAATTTTGAATTTTCATGTACTATTTTACAGTATTAAACATTGAAATACGTATTGAGAAAAGGACAGAAGAAAACGCTATCTTTTCAATATACTTTTGAATGAGAGTGATAAGTAATAATTGCCTTATCTAATTTCTTATCATGGTATTTATGCCAAGTTTGTAATGTATACACACTATCATCATATGTATACACAGTAATCATGAAAAGATAGCGTTTTCTTCTGTCCTTTTCTCAATACGTATTTCAATGTTTATAACCGTAAAATAGTACATGAAAATTCAAATTTTTACAAACTTCAAAACGCTACAGAATATTTACTACTGAATATTAATAAGATATTTTTTTACTAAAATTTTTCTTAAATTCTACTCTACAAAATAGCTATCTTAGATTTTTTTTTTACATTTTATTTAAAATTTAAAAATAATTAATATTTTTAATAAAATGTAAAAAAATTAATTATTGAGATATAGCTATAGACCTAACGTATAACTATTATTTAAAAAAAAAATAAACTAAAAATATTAACTGGATCAAAAGTTATTTAAGTTGTCAGTGAGTGGTGGGCCACCCTGTATATCAAAATTGGAAAATTTGAGTAAGCAACTAAAACAGTTATTTTGCAGCTAGAGCTATGTTATAAAGTAAAAATTTATTAAAATATTTATGGGCTTAAGTAATAAATACATCTGTATGTATATGTATTAGATCGTACGGGAAATCGGGTCATGAAGGATAAACACCTTATGAGTTATGGTATAAGAAAACGTCTAATATAAGTCATTTTAAATTATCTGGTAGTAAAATTTATGATCACATATTAAATTAAAATTTTTAGAAAATTTGGAGAAAGTGTATAATAAAATTCCGAGAAATATTTTTAAATGGTTATTAATGAGAAAAGGATTACCTAAAAGGTACATTTTGTAATAGAGGATATGTATGATGACATTTGTACCAGGGTAAATAGTGTGAGAGGAGTAACAGAAGATTTTGCTCTAAGCCCTTACTTATTTTCTATGGTGATGATAGAAATTACTAGTGAAATACAAGGAGAGGTGCCGTAGTGCATGTTGTTTGCTAACGATATAGTGTTAATAGAAGAAAATTAATCAAAGGCTAGAGCTGTGGAGATCAGCTTTTGAAGAAAAGGGTTTAAGAATAAGTAGAAGTAAGACAGAGTATATAGAGTACGAGTTTGACAAAAGAGAATACGAGGTAAGCGAAATGAGGAGACCCGTGACAATAGGCGAGGACGTGATTGGAGAGATGGAAAGTTTTAAGTATCTAGAATCAGTTGTGCAAAAGAACAGTGGTATTGACGAGGATGTAAGACACAGGATTAAGTGCGGTGGAGAGAAGCGTCTGGTGTGTTGTGCGATAAAAATATTCCAATGAAGCTGAAAAGTAAATTCTATAAGACTGTAGTGAAACCAGTTATGATGTATGGTCCAGAGTGAGTCAGGTGGTATAGGAACTAACATGATTGATGCTACTTCAAGTATTCTTCTGTAAAAATAGGGAGAGACACCTGTTTTGTATACACACCTGTATGTGGATAACCAAAGTTCTATAAAAATTAGTGAAGAATTCAAAATTTCATAAACGAACTAAACATATAAATATTCGTTATCATTATAATTGTAAAAAGTTCAATGAAGAAGCGTTTTCACCGAAGTATGTCACC